TAGCCAATTTGTCTCCCCAGCAGACCGCTGCCAAAGCGTCTGCCCTACGAAGGATTCGCACTCTTAAGAAACACATTTTGATACCAAAGAACGAGCTGCTGCCCCATCAGGCAACGTGTGTCAGAATCTGGTGCACAAAACCCATTTCTGAGCACTGACTAGCCTTCATTGTCATTATGGATTCAAGTGTGTCGCTGTGTTGCTCTGAAGCAGCAGTACAAAGTTCGAGTCCGGTGGCACTTTCAAGACGAACAAAGTTTTATTTAAGGAGGAGGAGGAAGAAGAAGAAGAAGAGGAGGAGGAGGAGGAAGAGGAAGAGGAAGAAGAGGAGGAAGAGGAAGAAGAGGAAGAGGAAGAAGAGGAGGAAGAGGAGGAAGAAGAGGAAGAAGAGGAGGAGGAGGAGGAGGAAGAAGAAGAAGAAGAAGAAGAAGAAGAAGAAGAAGAAGAAGAAGAAGAAGAAGAAGAAGAAGCAGAAGAAGAAGAAGAAGAAGAAGAAGAAGAGGAGGAGGAGGAGGAAAAAGAAGAGGGCTTCTAATGTCCTGGCCCCACTGGTGGACCTCCTCATGGCACTGGTATTTCTGGCCACTTTGTGATACAAAGTGTTGGACTGGATGGGCCTTTGGCCTGATCCAACATTGGTGTCTCTTATGTTCTTATGTTAAGAGATTGGATTTATACTCCGCCCTTCACTACCCAAAGGGAGTCTCAGAGCGGCTTACAAAGTCCTTTCCCTTCCCCTCCCCACAACAGACACCCTGTGGGGGAGGTGGGGCTGAGAGAGCTCTCTCGAGGACTGCCTTTGAGAGAACAGCTCTGACAGAGTTATGGCTTGCCCAAGGTCATCCAGCAGGTGCAAGCGGAGGAGTGGAGAACCAAACCCGGTTCTCCCAGATCAGAGTCCGCCGACTTAACCATGACACCAAACTGGCATGCACACGAAAGCTTATACCTTGAATAAAACTTTGGCCCTGTTCACACTTGGAATTTGCGACGGGAGAGGCACAGATGTCGGGCGGAGTATACGGGTGCGTTCACAAGGACACATCTGGCAAGCGTAGGACACCCATCGCCGCCCCGTAGCATCCGCCCGAACATCTGGAGTTTAAAAATACCTGGGAAAGCCTACTAGCAAAGGGTTTGCTGTGGGCCGTCGACGGAATACCTACCTGCGATCGCTCAAGTGGACTCCTCTCGCCGTGTTGACGCGCGCCGAAAACGCGCGCCGACAAACAAAACCCCACTTTGCCGCCGCGGTGTCTGATCGCGTTCTGGCGCGTTAAATAGTGCCGGTGCGAAAAGCCACGCCTCCCCCCGCGTGATCTGGCTTGCGTGACCGGGGCCTTTGCTGGTCTTAAAGGTGCCACTGGACTCAACCTTTGTTCTATCATTATCGTTGTACAAGTTTTCAGCAATGCAAACAAACCTAAGTGGCTTTCCTGTGACTCTGCACAGGCTGCTTTAAGTGAGGAGTGGATGAAAGAGGCCAGATCGTGCCACCGGTTCCATCCATAAAATGCAAGTTGCTGTCTTGGGTTGCCTCAACCTGCCTTGGGGATGTGCAGGCGAGAGAGAGGATTTAACCCTTCAACAACTTCTCAAGTTTTGATCATCAAAACTGTTCCCTATATACTATTAACATTCTAAAGGAGAAAGAAAAGGTGTGCCCTTACAAAAATGGTTCCCCTTTTAAATGCTAATAACAGAGCAGAAAGCCTGGGGCTTTTTAAGTGAAACCAAGTGAATTGGACAAACCCCCTCTCCCTTTCCCACACAGCCCCAAAGTGAACTGAGGCTGAATTTTCTGGACATCTGTTTGTTGGCGCCTCTCTGCCCTTCAGATGACGCTTCAGAGCACTTCACACACATGCATAAGTGGCAATTGAAATTAAAGTGGTAATCAAAATCGTTACACTATGTTGGACGATAAATTAGGAGAACCATCCCTTTTGAGTCTGACGACTTCAGGCATGTAAGTTCTCCTTTGGTGATATCATCCATAAGGGATATGCCATGTGGGACTGCCCCTTTAATGGGATAATTGTCCCATAGCCTTTGAAGAAGCCGGTACCAATTAGCATGTACGACAATTATTTTCTTTAGCTAAGTGGCCTCAGAGACTTCAGAAAGATCTATACAGACAATACCCGCTGAGAGAGCAACTTATCTGTATGGCACAGTAATTACAAACGAGTTCTTTGTTTAACCTCCAAGGAGCAAAGCCAAGTAGAAACTTCAGTGAGCTAATGATCTTTAACTGGGGAAAAAACCTACTCCTTTGTAGGCAAGACAGTCAAAAATAGATACTAGTTAATCCTGTAAATACTGGGAAAGCACAAGCAAGGATGATCAGAGCTCCTAGCAGTTAACGTAAGAACATAAGAGAAGCCACTGTTGGATCAGGCCAATGGCCCATCCAGTCCAACGCTCTGTGTCACATAAGAACATAAGAGAAGCCAGTGTTGGATCAGGCCAATGGCCCATCCAGTCCAACGCTCTGTGTCACACAGTGGCCGAAATTACCAGGTGCCATCAGGAGGTCCAGCAGTGGGGCCAGGACACTAGAAGCCCTCACACTGTTGACCCCCCCAAGCCCCAAGAATACAGAGCATCCCCTGCCCCAGACATAAGAACATAAGAGAAGCCAGTGCTGGATCAGGCCAAAGGCCCATCCAGTCCAACACTCTGTCACAAAGTGGCCAAAAATACCAGGTGCCATCAGGAGGTCCAGCAGTGGGGTCAAGACACCAGAAGCCCTCCAACTGTTGCCCCCCCCCCCAAGCACCAAGAATACAGAGCATCCCTTGCCCCAGACTGAGAGTTCCTACCTATACCTTGTGGCTAATAGCCACTGATGGACCTCTGCTCCATATCTATATATCTAATAGTGAAGTGGCCCCTGATGTGCGGATATCTAAATCTGGACATCAGGGGCACTTAGGGGGGAGGGAGAGGTTTGTGCACACGTGGGGCAGTCCCCACGTGTGCACAAAAATCCTAAATGTTGAAAAAAAATCGGGGGGATGTTTAAAACCCCCCGAAAGTGCCAGAGGGAGTTGAGGGAGTTTCAGTACCGGCTTCAGTGCCGGCTTGCGGGGGGGGAGGGAAATAGCG